GAAGACCCTAAAAATATAAACTGCCAAACTATTCACTTTTTCAAACTACAGTAGAATGCCAGAACTTCCAGAACTTTCCCACACCCACAAATCTCAATTTCTAAAACAACCTGACATTTCCAAATCTTCCACGACTGTGGGAACCCCTGCCTTGAGCATAAAACACGCTACTAATGAGTGACTGAGGTTTATCCACGCGATCGAATCAATATTTCATTTCTTGCAGTGATGGCAAATATCACAAAGTCACACAAACACAGGAAGTAGCCACCGAGTCCCATTCCCAATCTTCAGTGCACGCTGGGTTTAACGGCAAAAATGACAGTACACATCAATCTATGGGTGGGAGCTCAAGGAAACACGGGAGAAAGTGAGAAAGCGACTGGAGCGGCATATGATTTCAGTATCAATCACACTTTGTTCTTTTTGTCAGTGATGGTGCATCGTCCTCAGTGCGCCGTGGCCTGTTTCTCCGCTCCTGTCCTCATCGATCCATTTGCTTCAACAGCTCCTAAGCAAGCTCATCAATCTCTCTGTGTTTCTCTCCCAGACTGCAGGCCGCCGGCCACTATCAGGACATCACCCGTGTGGCAATGTGCAACAGCACGCGGACACGCACACACTAAAGCACAGCACCGTTTCCAGATGGCCATGTGCTGTGCATTTAAAAAATAAGTCCACACACTGGGCCTCACATGCCGGGATTACATGTCTGTTGCCTGACAAATTACCTGTTCTCCAATGTTACAGATTAAGATTAGACTTTTTTTTCACGCACTTGAATATTTTAAGATTTTGGCTTTTTATTTGGCCTATAGAAAGGAAATATCAAAATGTACTTTATTTTGTCATGTTTAATCTAGGTCTGTGGACTTTCATAATGATAATACAATTATAATTATATAATACAAATCTAATTATTATACATATTTTTAAAGACTAAAATTCCTTTTTTTCTGCACTCACACAAATCTCCACCGTTTAATTCATATCTACATACTGAAGTTTTTTTTTTTTTTTTTTTTTTTTTTTACAGGGGATTTGTTTGTATGACTGATTTGCAAATTGTAAATGTATCTTTAGTGCCATTTACAGTATTTTTTAAATAATAGAGTGATTATTAAATCCCCTCTGTTAAACACAATAAACCTAAAGCTATAAACTTTACCTCATTGTAACCTAACCAAATCGTAACTACATGTAATTAAAGCATCATTTACACTAACTCCTTTAAATTGTAACTACAAGTTTGATTTTGATGTTAAAATGTTTTGTGATTTTCCTGCTGGATATGTATAGAAATTAGTGCATACGCAATAAACTATTGCCTCGTTTACATTTTAGAAATCTTGTTATCAATCGAATCAATCAACTAGGAAAATATGGCGATAAATACTAGTGAACTTTTTTGCTTATTTACATGCAACATCTTGCCTTAAAAGGCCAGTTCACTCTTAAACAGTGATGGAAATAATGTCCCTTTAAATAAACAGCATTACTAACGGTGATACTTTTTTCAGTAATGAGTAATCAAATGAATTACTGGTTCCCAGGTTACAACGCCATTGCCATTACCGACAATCAATTGTGCATTACTATAATTGAGATCACTGAAGTGGTTTTCATGCAAGCAGTGTCTCTCAGCCATAGGATCTCTCTTTCTATGAAGTGGGTGTGTGTGTTTGGGATTGGGGTGCCACACATAACCAACCAGTAATGATGAATGGTGTGTCTGTGAACGTGGTGTAACAGAACGTGATGATTGGCTTAAATAGAGTACATTTCTATTGTTTGCCAAACAGAGGCAGAGTGTGTTCACACACAAGCACACGCACAGTCAGTCGCACACACCAAAGACCAGGAGTCGAACGATGGCAAATCCAACAAATTTAAAAGGCAGCATTTGGAAATATAAGCACTACTTTTCCCTCGTTGAGGTGAAAGGCAAGAATGTTTATGTGAATATACTGTATATAATTTATATAACTCAGTTACTATTTGTAAGAAGTTACAAGTAACTATGACTGCTCTTTTAAAGGAATGTGCCCAACACTGCTCATAAATTAAATTATCCACTTTTTACTCTTACAAGCTTATTCTTTTATCTGTTAAACACAAAAAAACATTTTAAAGAGAGCTGAAAACCTGTAACTAGGGGTGTAAAAGATCACAGTTGATGCATGATCTGTACAAATCATAACCCACAGTTCAGAAAGCACATGACCCATAGATTAATACCTTTTTTTGAACTTGTAGGTTTCTCCAACATTCAATACTCTATTTCTTCCCGCATCATTCAAATCACCTGTTGAAAGCATTTTGGCTTCCCTGTAAAATATAATGATGGAAGACGTTGTGGTTAAATCTACCTAAAGGCTTGCTTAGGTTACTAAATAAAAGGTGTTTTCTGTCACCTACATTACTGCATTCAGCATAAAGCTGCACAATTAAACATTAAAAGATTGTGATGTCAATTCAAACCCGCGCAACATGAATGATAAATTATTCAAATCTGCGTTTTATCAAGAGAGTTTTTGCGTTTTTATTTTGTATAAATGGAAACCAAACAACATTTGTCGTTTCCTTTTTCTCTGATCTAAAAAAAAAAAAAAGATCCGATCTGTGATTAAAAAACCAAAGGTTTCCAGCTTTCTTCAAATATCTTCTTTTGCGTTCAACAGAATAAAGAAAGCCATACACATTGAAAACAAATAAAATGTGAATAAATGATGCCAGATTTCTCTTTTTTTGGCTAAACTCTCCATTTAATTGACATGCTAAATTCAGTCATTCTTTCGGAATGCACTTGTCTCTAAAACAACCCTCTCTGCTCATATTCATCTCTCTCTTCAGCACGCTCTTTAAATCTTTCCCACTTTTAGGCAGAAGTGAAAGAGCAGGTGAGCGAGTGATTTACAGCGTCTATATGAGGAGAGCTTTGGATCACTTCATAAATCTCTGGCCGCACTAATGGCCGCTCATAAGGGCTCTGGCCGTAAGTGTCTGGATTTCCTGACACACTACTTTAATAGAGCCTCAGCAGCATTGTACAAACACACACACTGAACAATTTATTCAGAACAGCCAATATCCAACACAACATCAGATGATCTAATGGATACGGCACTTTTACCTTCGTGACATGGCCTGAATTTATTGAAGGAGGCAGCTTAGGCCATGTTTACACCCGGTATGAAGATGCACTTTCATTGATCCGATCACACATGAACGATGCTCAATTCTGGTGTAAAAGGGGTGTAAAATATATTAAGCTTATCCAATTTCGATCACTTCTAGAGGTAAATGCATTACGCTGAAATGCTTTTGAACAGCATAGTGATCATACTCATATTTTGCAGCTATAAGAAGAAAAACTAAAGCTACTGCTCGCTGTATCATTTACTCTTGCCTCATTTCATGTTATAACACTAAATATATTCATAAAAATGAAAATAAAAAAATATTTTGCATTGTCAAAGTAGAACTCAAACAGTATCTGTGAATTGGTGCTTATCTTTGGTGAAACAAAATGGAAGTGCTTTATTTAATACTGTATATAAAATCATTGCAGTGTTAATCATTTTATTTAGTGCAAAGCAACACAGGGATACGATTTTCATCAGCAAAATGAGTGCTGCTTTATCACTTTGAGCAAAGAAAACTGATCCCTTGCACACAATTAATGATTTAATTCAGACAGAGACTAAAACTAATTAGTTTCAATTGAATAATTACATTTAATTGCAGACAGTGTATATTAAAACCATATACATTACCTGACAAAAGTCTTGTCACCCATCCAAGTTTTAGTAATAACAAATATGTTCTTGACTTCTAGTTGATCATTTGGTATCAGAAGTGGCTTTTATGAAAAGCAAAGGCCTCTAGATTAGGATTATTTTAGTTAAGCAAGTTATGATTATGCCTTGATTTTTAATTATTTAAGTATGACAGTAAGGTCTGACTTTATTTAGACAAAAGTCTTGTCAGTTAACAGAAATAATGTACAGTATAGAATATAAAGTCATGTCGCAGAGGAAAAAGAATTAATATTGATTGTGACTCCAATGATCTTGGACGACAGCATTCATACATCTCTGCTATGACTCAAATAACTTGTTAATAAAGTCATCTGGAACGGCAAAGAAAGCCTTCTTGCAGGACCCCTAGAGTTCATCAAGATTCTTTGGATTCATTTTCAATACCTCCTCCATCTTTCCTCAGACATGCTCAATAATGTTCATAACTGGTTACTGGGCTGGCCAATCCTGGAGTACCTTGACCTTCTTTGCTTTCAGGAACGTTGATGTGGAGGCTGAAGCATGAGGAGGAGCGCTATTCTGCTGAACAATGTGTTACTGAATGTAACCCCAAACCATGATTTTTCCTTTACCAAACTTGATTTCTTTGAGAAGCATGGGTCTATGCGGGTTCCAATAAGGCTTCTGCAGTATTTGTGATGAATAGGATGCCGTTCAATAATTGATTACTCAGGAAAATCTACCACTTTTCCAAATGATCAACTAGAAATCAAGTTACTATTTGTTGCTCTTACAACTGGGATCAACGACAAGGTATTTGTCTGGCAGTGTACATGCTGCATTACAAAATAAAAAGAAATGCATTCTATATTTGTAATTGTATCACTCAGTTAACAAACAAAAAAATCTAAAACTGTAAAACTGTTCACCAATTAAATTGTTTATATGATTTGTTTTAATTGTACAGCATGTGAACTGTGCAAGTGTTTTGCAATATTAGATTAAAAGATCACAGATACTGCACAAAAGAGACAAACTGTCAACCTTGTCTACTTGTGTTCCAATCAACCAAAAATCATCTTGATAGCGGATACAAAAAAGGGCTTAGATACTTTGCAACTGCTGCCACACTTCATTCACCTCTCAAGCGCTGTACAGCAGAATCTGAGATGTTGAAAAATGCTTACGGGTACGTTTGGGATTATTTGTGCTGTGTGGACGGCGTTCTCCTTCCCTCACCTTGTTCCTCTCAAACAGCTCACTCTGGATGGTCTTGAGGTCGGTGTCCAGGGCGCTGGCGGCCTGCCTGCGCTTGCGTGCCAGCTGCTCCTCCAGGTCTTCCATCTGGGTGCGCAGCTTTTTGTTTTCCCTCTCCAGAGCCAGCTTTTCCGTCTCCAGACGCTCCCGACGACCCCACTCTGCTGCATTCTCCACCTGCAGACGCTCCATCTGCACAGACATCCAGGAGGACAGGAGAGGGAAGAGAGATGTGAGAACACATTAGGAAAAAGTTTGAGGGCAATGAAAGAGTAAATTCACATCCATCAACGCTGGCATTCGTATTGAGCTGAACTGAATCATCACTGAAATAACTGGAACAAAACCAGTGTTCTGCAGAACTGAATGTGCTCTGATGTATTGAATTTGTTTCACAATGATGAAATTTCATTTCTCCCTTTCCTTTGTTGCCTGTTTATCTCTGTAATGCTGTTTTGACACAATCTAGGTTGTATAAATCACTTTACAAAAAAAGTGACAACTTAAATTAGAAGTAAAGGCATCTTTTGTGATATTCGTCAGCATATTTTTGAGAAACAAAGTTAAAAAGAACAGCATTTTATTTAATATACATACTATATACAGTTGAAGTCAGAATTGTTAGCCCGCCTTTGATTTTTTTTTTTCTTTTTTAAATATTTCCCTAATGATGTTTAACAGAGCAAAGACATTTTCACAGCATGTCTGATAATATTTTTTCTTCTGGAGAAAGTCTTATTTGTTTTTTTTCAGCCAGAATAAAAGCAGTTTTTAATTTTTTTAAAAACATTTTAGGGTCAAAATCATTAGCCCCTTATTATTAGCTATTTATTTTTTTCCAATTGTCTACCAAACAAACCTTTGTTATACAATAACTTGCCTAATTACCCTAACCTGCCTAGTTAACCTAATTAACCGATTTAAGAACCGATTTATAGAAGTGTCCTATATATATATATATATATATATATATATATATATATATATATATATATATATATATATATATATATATATATATATATATATATATATATATATTAAAATATTATTTACTGTCATCATGGCAAAGATTAAAATAAATTAGTTATTAGTAATGAGTTGTTAAAACTATTATGTTTATAAATATGTTAAAAACAATCTTCTCTCCGTTAAACATCAATTGGGGGAAAAAAAACTAAACAGGGGGGCTAATAATTCTGACTTCAACTGTATGTGTACTGGTTTGGTGGTTTACAAAGACACAAATGTAATGACATGGGTAAGACTTAAGAATTACAAATCTGAGGTGGTTTATGAGGACGTCTAATGTTAAAAACATACTTAATGGGGTCTTTATATAATGTCCCACAGGCTTACTTTAAGGGTTGGGTATAGTGATAGGGTAAGGGCAGTGGTTCTCAATTCCGATTCTCGTGCACCCCATCCCCAATTTGGATTTCTTGTATGACGTTCTGTATGTCTCTCTTATTCGACACACAAGGACCAGTTCATGGATCTCTCGGTTAATGAGTTGATGATCTAAATCAGGTGTGTTAAGAAATATAATATGCGGTTTTAAAGTATAAAATCCATTTAGCCAATGAAAAACAAGTATGTGCATGTTTTGTGTACTCACATTTTTGAGTAATTTAAAAACATAAATACAGTGGGGAAAAAAGTATGTCATTACAAAAATGTCTAAAATGGACTGATGGTTGATTTCTGCGAGTTGTTCAGTAAAGGAATATGTCATTACTTTGGTTTTCAGATTGTTTGTCTTTATTAAAAACACTTTACAAATGTATTAACCCTGTTATTGTCCTTGTCCTCAGCCCAATTGCACCTACAGCTTTAATAGGTTTGCTATGCTAAAAACTGTTATTTAGAAAAGAAAGCTAAGAAATAACAAGTTTAAGTTGTTATGACTCGCATCAACCGATTAAAAACAAGAAATTATAAATACTACAAATATATAATACAAATGAATTTATAATTGTCCCCATGTTTTTGTCAATCCGGTCACATTTCCAATAAATTTAACATAAATTGCTTGCATTACATGTTTAAGGTTATGACTTAAGCTGACAGTGATCAAGCATGCAGTCTATCATTGATTTGTATGACTTCATATTAGTTTTTGTATGATTTTTTTAGGAGAACGACAAAGCTTAATTTGGGCCCTCTCACATTTTTTTAGCCGTGAAAATGTAAGTTTCTGGTAGAACGTCCATTATGTGCAGAGACATATTTAGCTAGTTGCATTTGCATAGCCTACTTTTACATTTTTCTATTTTAATTGGTCAATGTCAATATACAAATATTTAATAAAAATGGTTTTGCAGAAAAATGTCACGTTTATGTTCAGTCAACTTCTTTTTACTTTATAAGCCTAAAAAAATGTTTTATTATGCAGGTTTAGGTTATCAAAACTTTGCATTCTGTTTTCTTTTGGTTAAGCTCCTTTTACACAATATGCATTGAAAAATTCATTTATTCATTTTCGGTTTAGTCCCTGTATTAATCAGGGTTGCCACAGAGGAATGAACCGCCAACTTATCCAGCATATGTTTTACGCAGCGGCTGCCCTTGCATCTGCAACCCATCACTGAGAAACACTCATAGACTCTCATTTACACACATGACTACGAACAATTTAGCTTACCCAATTCACCTACAGTGCATCTCTTTGGACTTGTGAGGGAAACCGGAGCACCCGGAGGAAACCCACGCCAACACGGGGAGAGCATGCAAACTCCACACAGAAATGCCAATTGACCCAGTCGAGACTCGAACCAGTGACCTCCTTGCTGCGAGGCAACAGCGCTACCCACTGCGCCAATTTGAAAAATTATACCATACAATAAGTTAACTAAGTTTACTCAGTACAAGAAATTATTATTTTTTTTTTTGTTGGGCAACTGAAATGCACTGAAATTCCTATAAACTTGCTAATACCAACACTTTGTGCAGAACTCTAAATGTACAAAATATGAAGAGCCAGCATTTCCCGAGCACATAGCCACGATCAGGAAGGACTAATGCTGCATTAGCACACAGGACACCTATTAACCCAGAATGATGTTGAACTAAGTGAAGAGCTCTCCATGATTTCCTCGTTCTGACCTGCTGCTAAAAGCAGTTTAATGGGAAACCATCCCTTCCACATTCACCTTAAGTGCTGGCTGACTTTTCCTGGCACACCCCAAACTCTCCCCAGACCAGCTAGTCATTAATATTTCTTTAATGTCATTTGACTGCTGAGACGAGGCAGCGCCTGCGAAACGCCTGGATTCCTGAGGGCAGAGATGAAGGCAGGTCACCGGGGGTTTAGGAGATGAGGAGACGCAGTGGATCTGAGCCGACACACGGGAGTGCCGGCGCTCTTTAAGGAGCGCATTAAAGTGCATAATGTCACTCTCTCCTGCCAGGTTCATCTCAACAGCACCCTGCTGCTAACACTGCATGCTGGGAATGTGGCTGACTAACAGAGGGACTTGAAGGCTGGCGTCGTGCTAGCCGAAGCTCAGGAGAGACAGCGGATGGATGTTTATAGCCTGGAGGGTGTGCCGCTTTGATGTAGATCACAGTGTGTCCTGGAGTGACATTGAACCGTCTGGCCATCTCGAAACAGTGCAACACAGGTAGAAAAAGTACACGTGTTTCACCTCTGTACGAAGCTCTGCTAGTTTCTTGTCCATGTTGGTGCGGGCACCCAACTCATCCTCCAGGTCTTCAGACATGCGGCCAAGTTCATCTTGATGCACCTCCTTCAACAGGTTCAGCTGTGGGACAGATTAAAAAAAGACTATTATTAAAAGTTATTAGCTTATTAGTAGGGCCAGATAGAATCTGCAGACATTGCTATTTCTGCAGAGAACTGTAAAAAATCTGTGGATTTATGTGGAATGATTTTAGTATAACAACCAAAAATGTAACATTTAAAATAAAAAAATAATAGCTTTTTAACTTTGATTTAATATTTAAGATGCAAATCCAATTACTTCCACTTGTTTGGTAAACAAAACAAGTCTTTCATATAATATCTCTACTAAAAGACAGAAAATATTACTTTACAAACTGTATTGTAAATAAATCATATAAACGTTTTCATATTAGTCAATATTATTACTCAAATGATTTTTAAAAACTGAGTAAATATAAATTTGCACATATTTACACAAGTAAATAAATAGACTCAATGATGGGCTAAAATCAGTGTTAATGTGAATGTGACAAATGTACCAGGCTAATGTACATATTTTTATGAAACAAGTTTGATTTTCTGACATGTAGATGCTGCATGAGCACTTTGGCCCCTTGGGTTTATTGTATACCTATAATTTAAAGCAAGATTTGTCAAATTTACTCAGGCAAGAGACTCCTGATTTATTTGTCTAAGACTAATGTCACAAAGTAATAGTCTTGATGTGATGATAGTCAGTCAGCTACGATGCTGGACCGACCCAAGATGCAGTCCATTCACCCGTGATATCTACCACCATTAGACTCACCATCACTCATGGCATTTAGTGCCTCTAATATCCATTTGCCAGCCATAAATCACCTTCTTTTATTAATTCAGACTAAAACGGATTACCACCCTCCCAGTAGGTGAATGGCATAGCCTACAACCACAGAACATGAAAACATGAGCAGCATGAAAATAAAGGTGTAAAAACAAATGCATAATGGTCATTTGATCCTATTGGTGCTTATAGGTTTAAATGTCTAATGTTTAATCGAAAACTATTTTTAACAACAGGTGATTGTAAATAAAGCCATTTTGATGAATGTCAGAGACTGTAAGACATAGAAAATCTGCAAAGTAAATTTTAACAACATAGTGCTAATGTAGTTTCCGTGAAAGTAACTTTTTTTCCTGTTAATTAACTCACCTTTAGGCTATCAGAGAAATTTTGGTCAAATTTGGTAACACTTTACTTGAAGGGGTGTTATAAAGGACATTACATTTCATTCACATTCATGATGTGTCATTATAAAGGTTTAATAAAAGTAAAGTGTTACCATGAATGTTCACTAGTGCTTTATCTGACAAGAACCTTCCTCTTCAAAGTGGATTAAATTTATAAAAGTAGATCAGATTAATAATAATAATGTATGAAATAAATCATCTGCAAGTGTCTTAATATTAAGAGTGATATTTTTTCCAACACAATACCTCAATGAAGCACAGTAGGAGAAAGAGGTATTACATTGTTTTGCCCGTGTCTGTATTTTTTGACTACCAAAAGGACTGTAGTCATTGAATAACATTTTATGAATAACCAAAAACCACAGTTCCAGCTAAAACAAACCTTCTTTATAATGTTCTACTAAATTGCTTTCTCACTGCACATGCAGAAAACTTCCCAGTTTCAGAGTTTACATGTCCCATCACATGGACTAAAACAGGGGTGTCAAACTCAGCCCTGCATAGTTTAGTTGCAAACCTGTTTCAACACACTTGTAGGTTACAAAACAAGACTGAAAGACTCAATTAGTGTGATTAATTATGGTTGGAACTAAACTGTGCAAAGCTGCAGCCCTTCAAAAACTGAATTTGACACCTGTGGACTAAAACACGATTTAAAATGCCTTATTTACCATGCTAATTTCTACAATGCAAATATAAAGCTGTAATTGGATTTGTGACTTCTTTTATTTTCGACTGGGCTTCTAGTCTTATTATTCAGATCCATGTAAACCGAGTCACTCTCTCATTTCTAACCTTGTGATCTTTAGTAAAACGTCCATCCCTCGCTTTTGTCTCAGAATATCTGTGGCATTCAAATAAGCTACACGGGCTGTCTGTGTGCCAAACTGTGCAATACTCTGAAGATGTAGTTGGTATTCAAACAGATTTAACATTCTGATTGTGAATGAGCCTGCTTTTTAAACTCATTTCACAGTTGATGAAACTCAGTGAAACCGCGCTCGTTTAATATGACTTGTACAGACATTCTGTGGCAATACGGTCTAGAACATTTGCCATTAAGGAAGAGGAGCACTTCGGTCAAAGTCTTCTCTCCGTGCGGCGTCTCACACTCGGCGTACTGTGACTCAAACGCAGTGATTAACATTCGCTGCAGGTCGTGAGCTCACACAGCTGGGCTGAGGACAGGCAGCTCATCTATTAAACTAGCGAGTGTGGCGCGCGCACGCTTCCTACTCATCATCTCATGGTATTCATGCACATCCTCATGGGTTGAGGTTATTAAAAAGAGAAGCAGATCCCCTGCAACTCATCATCTCTCCGCTATATATGCCTGTGATGAGGTCTAGGTATGTGATGGTGAATCAGTCCCTTCTTCTCTCTATGGAAGGCTTGTATTGAAAGTCAGAATTTCCCTGGGCCCAATCAGTGTGGCTCTCTTTCATAAAATTGCTTGACTGAAAGAAATACTGAGCAGTGAAGCCTAACCATTCATAAGCGATAGCAGGCTGAGTTGTTCGTGGGTAAAAACTGCCCCCTAGTGGTGCTCTATCGGAGATGCATGCTGTAATATTTTAGATGGAATGATTTAATGGACTTATGGACCTAAATGCTTGTGGTTAAAGGGATAGTTCACAGAAAACTGAAAATTTATAAACTATTTAATCAGCCTCAAGTGGTTGCAAAACTCTGAGTTTATTTCTTATGTTGAACATGAACACAGAAGAAAATATTTTGAAGAACACTAAAAACCTGTAACCATTGACTTCCATGGTAAGAAAAACAAGTAGCATGCAAGTCAATAGTCCAGAATATATTCTTTTTGTGAAGAGTCTCTAACAGGTTTGGAACAAGTGAAGGGTGAGTAAATGACAGAATTGAATGTTTTGACAGAACTATCCCCATAATGCCTGCCATTTTATATTTTATATATTTAGGTGTCATTTTTTGTCTGTAATTAAAATGTAATTAAAACACTAAAAAAAATCATGCTGCCTAAATAGTCTTTTGTTAAATCTAAATGATTTTTTCTAGTCACCTCAACTTACATCAACCTAACTGACTAAAGATATTAAGTAAAACTTTGCATACCTTAATCAAAATTAGCTGAAACCCAATTAACTTATTAAAATAAGTTAAAGTAACAAAAACCCTTTATTGTTGTGACTTTGTCTTTTTTTTTACAGTCCAGGGCTAATAGATTTCTTAGAGTGGAATGCTGGATAACCTGATCAATCTGAATTTAATTATTTTGAAAATGTGATTGGTGTCACAATTACCAGTGATCTAATCCTTGCAGATTGCTGGAGAACTACACATCTGTCACTGAACTGGACTACAAATACCATCATGCACCTCACACACACACACCAGTTCATGATTCCCCCTTATTTCACACACAGCTGGTGATTCATTATGGACTGATTACCTGTACTTTATTTTTACCACACACACACAGCTGAGTCTTGTAAACCTGTAACTTTACGAAGCCCTGTCTAGCCTTGTTATTGACCTTTTGCATAATTTTTTTTGTTTCCATTTGTTTTGCCACCTGGGTTGTGGCTGGAAGGACATCAGCTGAGTTAAAACATATGCTGGATAAGTTGGCAGTTCATTCCACTGTGGTGACCTCTAATGAATAAAGGGACTAAGCATGAACTACCCATCAGTTACGTCGATTCATTCCCATTGATGAATTCTCTCTCTGTGCCTTATGGGATAGGCGTAGCGTGCATCAGATGCGCACTTTCGGGTACGTCTCACATACTGTTTTACGAATTCGATGGATTCAGAATTACTGCTTGGCTAGCATACTGATTGTAACATACTACATAGTATTGAAGTATGCTATTTTGGATGCAGTCACACATTGCTGAGTCTTGTTAACCTGTAAGTTAACAAAGTGTTTCCTTGTCTTGCCTTGTATAGCATGTTTTATTGTTTCCGTTAGTTTCGCCCCCTGTCCTGACCACTTGCCTGTTTTTGACTACGTATTGTGGATTTCCTGTATACTTCTGTTTGCCCCTGTTTTGACCGTTGCCTGCCAGACTAATCTGTTTAATAAACTGCTTGTGAACTCACAAATCCGTCGCCAGAGTCCACTCCACAACAACTGGATGGAATATTTTCTTCAACATATAAAATGAAATTATTGTCTACCTTCGATTACACTAAATTTGCATGTTAGAACACTGCAACTAGCTATCAGTAAAGATGAATTTTTAGGAAAACAAAAATTAAGTAAAGACAAAACTTGATATTTCATAAAATGTCGTGGCATTTAAAAAAGCTGAAATATGGCACTGTCCCATGAAAAATGGGATGTTTGGTCACTGGAATGTAAGATCGGTGCCTCTTATAAGAAAAAATATGACATCTGGAAGTGAAGATGAAGAGCTGAGAGGTTTGATGAACAGGCCACCGGAGGACTGAACCCTGTGCACTTGCTCAATGCATTCTTCCTGCTGATTAAAGCTCTGACTAGAAATTGCCCAGAGGAAAATTGGACAAGGCCAAGGATTTCATGCTCTTTTAACATGGAAGTGCTGGAGATCAGTTCCTCATGAGAATAACATGTGTTAGTGGTCTGGCTTCAGTACTTTTTTTGTTATTTGCAAATCCAAAATGATCCACAAATAACAAACAGAGCACTAAAGCCAGAATACTAATGTTCACAATTAAGGCTCAGCGACTGGTGTCTTGACTTGATGCCGGAAAATCCACCATTCAATAAATGAAGCCAGAAAGATAAACGCTCCACAGCTGTTACGAAGCCATTTGGCTGCTGAAATAAATATCCAGCATATTTCTGAAAGTTGGGCGACACATCCAAGTTCATTTTTTCCAGCCTTGCTGCATTTAATATATTTTTATGCAACTGCAAATCCTCAGAAAGGTGATTTATTTTCCATCAGAGGAACGTAATTGCAATCTAGCAGTCACTTTTGGACAGTACAGTTGAGATATTTACGATGCAGTATAAATCTGCTTAAAAGCAATCAAGCCATTTTCTACACTATTTGTCACTAAATGTCTAAAAGGAAAGTTTATAATATTGCATGATTTTATATCAACTGTAGAATTTCTGCAATCTGAAGGAATAGGCTTTATATACAGATTTTAGAAAACTGTCCGAAAACAAGAACGGGGGTTGTTTAATAGCTTTAGGACAACTTTTTGAAAGGTTTTTAACTTCTTCAAATGCTGACAACAATATAGCATATAACATTGTTTTTTTTTTTTCCTGCTTTAGTTGTTTTTTCCCTCTTTAACCAGGGTTTCTACAGGTTTCACCAAGTACAATTTAAGACTTTAAGACCTTTTTAAGACCATTATGAATGATATTTTAAACTTATACAGATCTATATGCCAAGGATTTTTTTCTACTAACACAGTTGGTCTAGTGGGAGAGATTTTTACTTGTCCAATCATAAAATATTTCATTGGTTAACGATATTTTAGATTTACACAGTTCTACATGCTAAGGTTTTTTTTCTAATGGCCCAGTTAGTCTGGTGAAAAGGATTTCTACTCGCCCCAACAAAAAAAATTCAATTAGTTGTTTCTTAGTCACATATTTTACATAATGTGTAATAAGTCAGTTGTATTGACCTTATTTATATTGACCTTACTTGGTTTCGAACTTCCTAGTCATTTTTGCCATAGGCAACTGAGCGGGAATAATAAATGGCAGAAAACTGTCAAACTACTTGCTCAACAAACAAGGGTTTGCACGACTAAACAAAAAAAGTAGAATAATATAAGAAGAAAATTCCAGTTTGCAACATTAACCAGCTGTTTTTAATGTCTAAAAGTGAATAGAAGTGAATGAGACCGGAAGTTTCAAGCCAAAAAGATTCAAATGGCTGCGCCTGCTCATACGCAAAAAAATAAGGTGAATACATACTCATTTTTTTTTACTCTACTTATAAGCTCTTTAAAAGCTATAATAAACCAAATATATGCACATGCAACAGTCTATCCAGGTGAGTGTCTTCCACCTACATATGGTCTACACTGAGAACTTTTGAACTAATTTCATAGTAAAGAAGATAATTAAACACTTGGTTATAAAGCTAATTCATTAGCTATGACAATATTACTCTAAATGACAATGGAAGATAAGGCCATCTAAATTTTACCAAAAACAATAGAGATGTTATTTGCATTTATTATGATTTCTGGGTATATGAAACCCCTTTCATCAATTTAACTTTTAAGAGAAGCATCTGGTTTTTGACCCATTTATTTCCATCTTTAATTTGGACAACAGTTCAAATCAAATAAGTTTTTTTTCCCCTCACCTGTTTCAAGGCCTCTTGCTTGCTCTTGTTCAGCTCCTCATATTTGAGTTTCCACTGGCTCAGCTCTGCCTCCAGCTTCTCAATGTTTTTAATAAGCGCATGTTTATCTCTAAGAGAAAGAGGAACTCATGAGATGTTTGACACAATACACAGCACAGATCATCATCATCGCCATGACAAACAGACTGCTCTGACTGTTCTGTTTTTTTCACGCATTACTGCCACTTGAACAGTGGATCTCTTACTCTCGTTCTTTTAGCAGGACTTTCTGGGATTCATCCAGGCGTAGTTGGAGAGCGTTGAGCTTGCTGGTGTCCTCCTCCAGGGCAGCCAGATCCTCCCACAGCAGTCTGTTCCTGTCCTGCCGGCTGAGGGCAGAGCGCAAGCTACTGGCACTGCGACCGTCCCACGAGTCTGGAGCCTCTGACTTTGCCCTGAGAAGAGCCTCCAACAACTCCATCTCCTTAGAGAAAGACAGAAGTAAAAATTTTGAACACCACAGTAAAAAAGATACTTCCAAACAGTAATGGTTCCTAATATATATATATATATATATATATATATATATATATATATATATATATATATATATATATATATATATATATATACACACCTTCAAAAATATATATATTAGCTTTATTTAGATTGCTGTTTTATTTAGATTTTTTGATGCGGTCTTAAGGGTGGCACGGTGGCTCAGTGGTTAGCACAGTTGCTTCAGCAGGAAGGTCGCTGTTCGAGTACCAGTGGGGCCAGTTGGCATTTCTGTGTGGAGTTTGTATGTTCTTCTTGTGTCTGCATGGGTCTCCTCCAGATTTTCCCCCACAGTCCAAACAAGTGCACTATAGATATTGGACTAACTAAATTTGCCGTTGTGTATGAGAGTGTATGGGTTTTTTATCTTAATGGAGCATATGTTTAACATTTTTAGGTTTTTAAGGCCTGTGACTGTATGAGCATATAAAGACCGCCCAAACTCAGTCTCGGAGGCCCAATGTCCTTCATAGTTTAGCTCTAACTTGCCTCAACACAGCTGCCTGAAAGTTTTTAGTATACCAGGATAGAGCTTGATTAACAAGTTTAGGTGAATTTAACTGTGGTTGAAGCTAAAATCAGCAGGACACCAGCCCTCCAGGACCGAGTTTGGCCACCCCTGGTGTAAAGCATTCAGGCATGAGGAATTGTACAATTTAAAACTTGAATTTAAACATATTTTATTTATTTATACAATGAAGATGCTATGTAGTGCAATTTTACATTTGATTGTTCAATTTCTATACATGAAGTCTTACAAAACTGAGCTATTCAAGTCACCTGGTGAAATTGTACTCCTATCACAATTAGGGATGCTCCGATCAGGATTTTGGAAGTATACTAAGTACCGATTCCTTGTCAAGGTGATCGGCCAATACCGATTCTAATTTTTTAAGCTTTATATAAGTTTGTAACTGCATGAACACAATTACCATTTACCATTTAGATCTCATCTTACCTAAGATAATAAATTTAAGATGTTTCACAAATGTAATGGTCAGAAGCAGGTTAAAAAAAAAAAAAAGAAAAAAAGAAAGAAAGAAAGGTGCTTCAAATAAAATGTTTATTATAATTATAGATTTTTTTTTTAATGGTAAAAAAAAGTGACAACACAATTTGGAAACATTGCTTATGTTGTAGCTCTGCTGATGCATAACCCAGGCGTGCACATGCATCTTCCTCTGCTTGTAAACTCGCAAACAAACGGTTATGAGATCGATCTCTAGCCGATCAATTGGAGCATCGCTAATCACAATATATATCGTATAAACATAGTACATAAAAATCTAAATTCTCTTACAAAAGTATAAACAAGTCTCATTTAAAATTTAAGAATTTAAAAGAAAGTTTTGTAAACGATTCTGATACAGTGTTGCCTTGTCAGTCAATGAACAATGTAAAACCTCAGTTGTGAAGCAAAACCAGCTGAGAAACACTGCCATAGTCAACGTTCCAAAACAATGCAAACAAATCAAAAACATGCATTAAAACAAACCCAAAAGCACAGACTTTGATGTTTGTTTGTTCTTAAATCAAACCGCAGAACAGCCATTTCTCCTGTCATCCACATAACAAATATCACATTGCACCTTTCCTTTGTTTCCTGTGTGCATGAATGAAATTCACAAGCTCTGTGGAAGAGTAATAAAAAGCGGCTTTACGGTTAAGAGCAGCATCCTTCCTCTTCTCTTCCTACACACTGTTGGGATTACATATCAAAGACATGAGCCTCAGGAGACAGACATGAGACACTAAATATGCTGCCAACTTCCTATGACAGCGGTAAAATGCAACAACACCTCCCTGCCACCAGAGGGAACCAAACACAAGCTAACAGAAATGGAGATCCACATGTGGAAGCACTCAACATGCATGCGTGTGGAAACAGATCAGCAAATGGGACGGTATCAGACAATCCAGACTAAGCTAGCTAATGTTTGTTTACTTATTCAAGATTGAATGAGGGCACTTGTTTCTGCGGGTGCACGTGCCTGTGCTGAATAATAAAAAGGCAAAACCACTTTTGCTCTCAGCAGGTAATTGTCACTGCTCACAGGAGTCCAGGAGACTTATCACTATCACGGCGACCCCCTGTTGACACCTGTGCAGAAATATACATCCATCACCTTCAAGACTCGAAGGTCAGGTTTGACACTGACATTAATTCTTGCTTCCCTCTCTCTGCTGGTGAAATGCCTTTGCATTTATTTGCAAAACAGAAAAAAATAAGGGTTGCACATTTTTTTGTGCGTGGACCAATTCCCCTGAAAGACTAGTTAAAAATGCATTAAGGATATCTAGAAATGAAAAAGGTGTAGTGGGGACTAATGCAGGACCCCTGGGTAAAACACATTGGGGGTTGTGCTGAGACCGAGTGAGGTGTTTCTATTAATAGGCCATAAAAAAATGAAACTAGCACACATGCGGAAAGCACAGAGTCAGGTAAAGAAATAATAGGGAGGTGCACTGAACCAGGTCTGTGGCTGACCTATTTACAACTATCGTCCTGTGTTAAGAGGTGATCTGTTCTTTAGGTGAGAGATTAAAATGGTTTGTCGTCTAGTGCGATTAAAACAATTTTTATTTTCATTCTTATTAGTACTAATCTGATTAGTTTAACTGGTGTGATCTCTTTAGACTAGCACATGTGGTCTGGATTCAGGTTTGTTTAGATAATGTGAACGGTGTTTACCTAAACCTGGGAGTGAAACTGAAATGCAATGTTAGGCAAGCTACTTAAAACCTGTAGTGAGTTAAGCTATTAGTTACTCTACTTAAAATGTAGCTTAATAACACTAAAATCTACCCTTTGGGAAATGTAGCAAGCTAAGCTAAAAGCTACCTGATAAAAGTTTTGCAGACCGCTGCGTAGGAAAGTTGAAGCTTGGTGAACTCTGAGCTGGGAATTCGCATCACATGATTTAGTGAGACCAATCGAGGATCAAAACATGACCTCTGTACAGAAATGTAAAATATGGAGCAATCGCTTTTTAAAATGTCTAATCATGTTGTTTAATCCCACCCCTTTTCACAGAGTCGTACGTCAATTTCGCAAGCTCAAACTCTAGTGTGACCGCAGCTTAATCGGTTAGCGAGGTCACAGACCAAAAAGTTTGATGTCGGCCACTGTAAAACAGGATGAAGAAGAAATCGTCATTCTCACCATCATATGGATTTACTTTCATCGGCTAGACACACAGCCTCACGGCTTCGTGAATGTTGGTGCCATCACTTAATGATGTGTGATCTGTAAATGTAGCTTGTGAGCTACAGAAAAGCTATTTGATCTGGAAAGTAGTGACGCCACTGACACGCTACTGAGAAATGTAGTTAAGCTAGTAGCATCACCACTTGTAGCAATGCAACTGCCTAACACTGCTGAAATGAAATGTTTTGTCAAGGTAAGAATCTGAAATCTTTGTTCTCTTTTATTTAAAACCAAGTGTGAAGGCACCCTTCTTTATCTGTCAAAACTGAAAATCAAACATTTAGCTTGAGGCAACAAAATCACAGCCAGGAGGAACGCATTTTTATGTTGAAAATACAACATTGGTTTGTGCTATTTGACACAACGCATCAAATATAGAAATCAAGAGTCTTACAAAATGCTTGACATGCCTCAGGGCAATATGAATGTTGAAAGGTTTGTTTTTTGATGCTTTTCTCCATCACACCTAGTTAAGACACTAGTTTAGGCTCCAGTGTCTTTTGTTGGTTCTGGTTAGATTACTGGTCTTAATAGATTGGTTCGTCCAGACAGGAACATTTTCACCCTCGTGTTGCTTCAATCCACTGAATTAGTTAATCTTTGAAACACAAAATTTAGATATTATAGATGAAATCCGAAAGCTCTCTAACCATCCATATAGTTAGTAATGGTCCTTACACATTAAAATTGCAGAAAAGGAAAAAAAAAAAAAAAAAAAGATTGTCCAAACATTCCATGCGACCTCAGGGGTTCAACTGTAATCCCACATATCGCAAAGTGAAGTTTATTTATAAACAAATTTCGAGAGGATCACGTGCTTATGATTGTTCACAGCTGTTCCAACTTTAGCTAATGACTAATTATCAGACGATCCTTAACTCATTATAAATAACCAGAATTTTTTTTTATCTCAATATCTTTGTCTTGAGGAATATTGGCAATACATTTAATGACAATATTTAATGGCAATACATTGCACTGCAATTTACTACAAATGTACAACCTAACTCACAGGTGTCAAAGCCAGTTGCTGGAGGGCTGCAGGCCTGCACAGTTTAGCTCCAATCCTGCTACAACATACTAAAGCTGCGGTCACACTGCACTTTTCTCCTCATAGACTTCCATTCAGACACACGCGAATGCAGACCAGAAACGCAAGGTCATGCGTCAAGTTTCGCAGATTGCTGCATTAGAAAGTTCACGCTCGGTGAACTCTGACCTGCAAAATCACATAACTTGACTGCGTGAGACCAATTGGGGATCAAAGCATGAACTTCCTGCACAGAAATTTAAAACATGGACCAATCACTCGCTTTTTTATGTCTAATCATCTTGTTTAATCCCGCCTCTTTTCACAGCGCCATACTACAGAATTTCGCAAGCTTTATCTCCAGGGTGACCGCAGCTTTACCTGTAGGTTTCAAACAAGCCTGAAGGACGCAATTAGTTTGATCAGGTGTGTTTAATTAGGGTTGGAACTAAACTGTGCAGAGCTCTGACCCTCCTGGAACTGGCTTTAACACCAGTGACCTAACCTGATGCAGGAGAGAAGATATATGCAAACAAAGTCATATTTACAGTGTTTTTTGCTGAACAAAAGGTTCTTTGTAGCTTTGTATTATTATTATTATTTCAGTTGTATGAAGATCTCAGTACTGCTGCTGTTAAAAATGGGCTAGAGAGCTTTCGGACATAAACTAAAATATCTTTCTTTGGTGAACTAATTCTTTAATGCAACTAAACGAGTGTAACTGCTTCTTCAACTGAGGAGCCTTGCTCTCAGCATACCCCTGCTTGCTTACATCAGCATTCTGTTTCTGGTAGCCATTACTGAGTGACCAATTGGGATCTTAAGAGAAACAACAATCAACCAACCAACTAGTCCTTTCTGAAAATTTTGAAGTTCCCAGCCTTTCCATTAATTAACCCTGATCAATCTGGAAATTTTCAATACTAGAAGATAGACTTTATTTAAACATAAATCCAAGAGGTCGGAAAGAAGCCCTTCAGGACAACCTGAAGTCCCCCCCTGGACAATCAGAAGTGTCTTGTGTTCTTGTTTTAACTTTTGACCATCTAAGAATGTTTTCCTTTAACGAGAGGTTTATTAGATCTTTAGGTGCATTATATCTTTTTAGGTCTTTAGTTCTGTTTGTATACATTTGTCTACCCATAGATGTCCATTTTTCTAAGTTATTACATACATTGTCATAATGGTACAATAATTTGATAATATGTCACTAACTCTCCTGAAAGCATCTCACAGCTATAGCTTCATATGGTTATTTAACATTTACAATCAGTGCTTTATATATTCAGTTATTCTCCAGCATAACTTCAAGTGTTGCTCCTGCTCCTTTGCAGCCCTAAGCCTAGTTCACACTACATGACTTTAAACATCAGCAGATCACTTTGCTATTTACACTAAATGACTTGATTTTGTGTCTTTTAATCGCTGTGGTGTTCACACTACATGACACTACGTAAATGATCCACAAGAGGGGGGCTCACACACTACATGATCTGACAACAAGTCATTCGCCAACTGCCCAGTCAAGCTACCAAACCACAGCCTATGAAATTTTGAGAAAGGACTCATCAGAAAAAGCTGAACACTATTGGCTGCTTGTGTGCTGATTACATCACTGACAGCGATTCAAGCTTTCAAGGGAGCATTTAAAAACATCATCAACCAGCTGATGCGTCAGCAGATAAATCGCTCATCTTCAAGGTTCAAGTGGATAGATGTGGCTTTAACACTAGAACTACAGAGACAGTCAGAGAGTTTATAATTTTTGTAATTAAAATAACAATAACATATCTATAAACACCCTGACGTTTTCTAAATATCGGTGTATTTCTTTTTAATATTTTTATAATTTTTTTATTATTACAAAACAGTGAAGAACTGAGCATTTCTACCTTTAATTACCATATTGGTCACAATGACCAATATGTTATAGTGGGGACTTTTCGCTGTGGTTTTCAATATGCATGATCGTTTTTTAACTAGCAACTTCCTGCTAACATAAACATAACTTTCTGATAAAACATAAATTTACTTCAGGTATACATTTCAAATCAGCATATTCTGTGCCACGAAATAGCTCCTGTTTGAAAGTATATATATATATATATATATATATATATAGGCTGTATAACCAAAACAGATAATATTTTTAGGGTAATGGTATCATAAAATATCATAACAGATATTCAAAGCTCATTTTTATTATCTCAATAAAAGTTTTGAATGTAAATATGATGTGACAATATGACGTTGTATATGAAAACAGTCAGAATGACCAGTATGGTAATTCTACTAGCTACAGAATTCTAGCTCCACTGTTAATGTAGCCTACTCTCATGTCCGTGTTAACATAGAATGAAGCAAGTGCATCGATGGCCATTCTGGCCAATCACAGATGTTTCTGTTGAGCTCCTGAGCACATGGCCATTTAAGTCATGCTGATGTAATCTCTCATTGGCTGTGGCTTGTCACTACATCTGACCGCATGTGGGGTCGAGTCGGCGAACTGCCGAATATTCAGCATGCTAGATATTGGATTTCTGTCTGCGAGGTGTCGGCGACGCTTCAGCGAGCCTCTTTGATGCATTGTTCAGAAGTTCACTTTACACATAAAGACTGCCGAGCGCCATGCACCTGCAGATTTTTTCCAGATCACAGCCCGATCTGTCGGCGAGCTCGTTAACTTCCAAATCAGGCTCAAATCAGGCTTAATATCCTGTAGTGTGAACTAGGCTTTACTCATCATATACATATACCACAGCCTGGCTCGTTTTTTTTTCAATTACACGTTTAACTATCTTTAATTTTCATGTTTGCTGGACACTACTGCATACTTTTAGAGAGCAAAAAATCTTTTTCAAAAACATCTATGTTGGACTCACCTTCTGCTTGTATAGTTTGTCAGTGCCTATGTCTCTCACAGGTTCCTGCTCTGGAGAGCCAGGCCCATCTCTCACACCCTCCTCATCCTGGTTGTCCTGCTTAATCTCTGCTTCTCTTGGCTGGTTGGAATGTGTGGAGGCAGTGGAGGAGTTTGATTCTGGTGCATTAGATGCATTCTCTGGGGAGCTCTGTTCAGCTCGGACCCTTTGAGCCTCGAGACGAAGCTGTTCGTTTTCCGCAGCCAGCTCCTGGCGCTCCCGTCGAGCACCCGTCAGCTCTTTGGTAAGAGCGTCCAAGCGTTGCCTCAGTTGTCTGACTTCATCCCGTGCCCGGTTACGTTCAGCCCGTACCTTACTCCACTTTTCCCTCCAGTTGGCTGTACAGTCCGACCACCAGCGCATGGTCTTCTCCATTTGAGCGGCCCGGGCCCGAGCCTCCTCCAGCTCCCGCAGACGCAGCTCCTCGCGGCTCTCCCAGTCCCCAATGCCATCGCAACCCAGCCCTGGAGAGAGCAACAGAGGAGGGCTGGAGCTGGGCGTTCCCCCTGACGGGCTGGGCGTATGGGTCAGGCTGTCTGGAGAGCGCACCCGATCTGGGCCCAAGCCCAAGCCGCACAGCAAACCTGCCCCGGACTTGGCGGCCTCGGTCATGTGGGGACTGGGTGTGTGGTTCATCACTGAGCCAATGATGAGTCCAGGGAAAAAGATTACGGTCAGGAAGATCTTATCAGGAATCCATGATGCACGTCAAGATGATGCTTTTCTGTGAATAGAGAGAGATTTGGAGTAAATAATACAATAATAAACTCATTCTTTTGAACGGTCACAAAACATCCTAAGTAAATGATATAAGATAAATGAAAAATAATATATATATTTTTTTTGTTATTGTTTTTTGTTTAGAGTTATCAGAAATGTACTAATATCCATGCTTGGTCGAATGGATAAAATATAAATGGTTTTCATTGAAACTTATCTGCTTATTTTAAGTGAAATATAATTTTGGTTTTATTTTTGTAATTTACTGAAGACATTTGTTCATTCATTTTCTTTTTGGCTTAGTCCATTTATTTATCCATCCAATGAAAAGTTTGCTATATATATATATAAAAAATATATATAAAAAATTCTCGAATCAGATTGGCTTATAGCAGTGCGATATTCTGCAATATCAGAACTTGTACAGCCTCTTCACTTATGTGCATTATTCCACTCACAAAGAATGACAGCAGATTACTAAACTCCCTACAGTTTGTCAAATAAACAATGCAGCTGTTGGACAACATGATGTACTTCTGAGGCTTTTGCAGGAGAGAATGTAGTTGTTTAGATTGCAACTATAATTTTTATTTTTTTTTACAGGGGTGACACGTTGGCTCAATGGTTAGCACCGTCACCTTACAGCAAGAAGGTTGCTGGTTCAAGCCCCAACTGGGTAAGTTGGCAATTGTGTGTGGAGTTTGCATGTTCTCATTGGGTTTCACTGGTTGCTTGGTTTTCCCCCACAGTCCAAAGACATGGGCTATAGGTGAATTGAATAAACTAAATTAGTAGTGTATATGCGTAAATAAGTGTGTATGGATGTTTCCCAGTACTGGGTTGCAGCTGGAAGAGCATTCTCTGTATAAAACATATGCTGGACAAGTTGGCAGTTCACTCGACTGTGGCGACTGCTGATAAATAAAGGGATTAAGCTGAAGGAAAATGATACTTTTAACAATACTTATTTAAGTGACCGTATACATGCATTTACAAGTAGTTTTAAATAAAAGAACAGAAATGACAAAAAAGACCAATAATTGGCTCTGCAAACCTGAATACATTCATAAATTGAGCATGTGACAAAGACATACAGGAGCAGTGAGAGCAAACAAAAGAAAAAGAACTCTTTCTGTCAACATGTCAATGCAACATGGCCAATAACGCTGAAATTGCTGAGCAATCCAAACCACACCATGACAACCCAGTGCAGCTTTGATTTACATGAATTCTCCCTTTCTCACACTCCCACACACAGACTGTTTACTTAAAAGACTGCAAGGCGACAAAAGAGGAGGTTCCAGGTCAAAAAGCCTTCAGCCAGAGCAGCCAGCATCTCTCATCAGCCACGAAGAAAGAGTTACAACCAGGCTACAACATGAGGGAGTAGAGCTTTGTGTTTGTAAAAAAAAAAAAACAAAAAAAAAAAAAAGTGTGAGGCTGTTTTTCATGTAGAGTGTTGGCTTTGGTGAACAAGGGCTAGATTTATTATATTTTTAAAACACGGCCCTCTGTCTGACCTGTAAGACAACCAAGCATGTCATCTGTCTGAGCCCAAGAAAAATATCACATGACAGAAAAAAAATATGCTTTACGATTTAGGTACATGTACTATTACACACAGACATGGACAATCAATCACTAACATAAAGTGGTCCACTCCAGATTTGCTATTATTCAATGTTGTTCTGAGCCATTTTTTCTGAGCAACTAAAAATGTAATATTGTTCCTTAAATGAAAGTCTATGAAAACATTCGAAAAACACAATGAGTTTGCATAGATTTCACACTTCACCACTGATCTACATTTCTTGCATTATTCATTTTTATGTATATTTTAATTCTACTAAAGAATTTCAATGCTTTTTTTGTTTATTTTAGGGATTTCTATTTTAGTTGATAAGAAAGAATTTGGTTGTAGCCTACAGAAACTTCTAAATGGAACTTTGTAAAGAAAATAAATATTATTGCAAATTTAAATTACACAATTATCTGTGCAAGGACTAAATACACAAATTGTCAAACAATCTACCACTATTACATCTGAGGTAAAACATGTGAACTATGTTATTTCTTCCATGTAAACCAGGGGTCTCATTTGTGGCCCTCTCTCTTTCTCTCTCTGGCCCGCAACTGACGTCAAAATATAACGAGATTCGGTCCGCCAAAACAGATGTTTGTGAATCACTATCATTGTTGTGCAGTCGCATATAGCCACTTGTGGTTTTGACCCCACACCTACTGGACACTTAAAGTTGTGTACTATATATCTAGGTTACTTTCGGTTTTTCCTCAGTGTGTGGTCGAGAGTAACGTACAATTCAGATTATTTCTGTGGCTGATTTAAACGTTATATATGAAAATATACAAAATATATGTCTGTAAGTGCTCTATTTTTACTAAAGCTCTATTTTTGTAAAAATTCAAGGGTCATTTGATAAGTTTTACACCACCTGTACTTTGTTGTACAAACACTTTTTTGTGGCTTACACGTTATGCTGGTGGTGTTAATTTGATCATTTTGCTAATATTCGATTCAAATGGTCTCATTAATAGATTTTCCTCAAATTCTAAAGAATTGTATAAAAAATGTGCATTAGTAAAATTTTACTACTGGTTGAATAGAACATCTTAAAGTAAATGTGAATATCTACATACTTTCTCCCTCTTTGTTGTAGTTAAAAAAAAATAAAAATAAATAAAAAAAAAGGTATGGATAGGATCAATTGCCAGCAAAGTCACTAAAGTAACCCAATCTGGTTTCGCTGTCTTAAGACTATCTGTTAAACTTTTGGTTAAGCAACAATTGATTGGGACATAATAAAAATAATAGTAATTATTATTATTATTACTATAATTAAATTGTAGCATTTTCAAAGCAATTTATACTACCCCTTCATTGTGTAGAACATGAAACAAAAAGAAGGAGCTTTGACTGCATATACTCTAGGGACGAATGTCTGAGAACATCAATAAGATCAGTTTTTTTTTTCTTGTGCTTGAATGTTAATACAGCACTCATATGAATTGTCAGTCCCTGGGGTATGGCCCCTCACCAAATTGAGTTTGAGACCCCTGATGTAAGCAGTATATTATACTTGTAGCATTCTTGTGAGGTAAAATAAAGAAGGAGAACAAAAAAAAGTTTACTTAGTTGACATGTTCACAACAGGATTATGTTCAATATATAACTTTTGCAGAGACAACCATTTTTTCTCAATTGCTTAAAATGTAAAAACAGATCATGTGTGCCTATACCTAAAGAATTTATTCAGGTGCAAGGTCTTCAAAATAATTTCCAATACAAGAGCTCTACTGTAAACTGTTGCTCAAAGCAAACAATCAAACGCCACTCTTCAAACCCAGATGAAGGTTTATGGGTGGGGTTTGTGGCTTTGGGAACTGCCGACTCGTGCATAAAGTGGGACAAGAAACATAGGCATAAGATTCTCATAAAACACTACTCATACAAAAGCCCTCTTTTATTAGCTCAGCTTGGGGGAAAAGGGGAAAAAAAGCATCAATATTTGCACAACGGTGCACAACGGTTTGGGTGGCAAAGAACAGCAACCGCTGCCACAGTGGGTCAGTGGGACAATAAATCAGCATTCTGGATCAACATTTCAGCACAGGCTACATGGTTTAGTCTAGATGTCAATGGATGTCTCTTTTGTAAGCTATGGCTTATATGTTGGAGGCAAAGCAGTTGTCATGCCAATCAGCTCTCGCAAGAATGTGGATCAGTAAGAGAAAGCAACAGAAAACGAGACAATAAGAAGAAATGTAATTATCTCCAGAGGCTTTCTTCACAGGAGATTCTGATTAACCCTAATGATGCAATCCGAGTAGCATCTCCAGCAGAAACATGAGCAGCGTGAAGAGAAGAGAAAGAGGTGAGGAAAGAGGAGAAATGTGTAACTGGAACCGCTGCTATACTGCTGACAGCTTGAAGAAAGAACAGTTGGGTTCAAAGCCTTGCTGGAAAGTGACAGAATTGGTTTATATCTTTCAGGTTTGTTTTTTTGAATAATATAAAAATGAAAAAAGTATACCATCCTTATGGATTATTCACAATGTTCAAAAAAGAAATCTTTTGAGATAAACATAAACAGAGCATTCCATGTGTCAATGCAATTATTTTTCCTTAGCTGCAACCTAAGATCAAATGAATTCTTCTGTAATAGTCATGCAAGCCAGAGGTTCTCAAACCTTTTCTTGATGCACTCTTCCTTACATACAAGGCAGAAAAACTGAACAACTGCAGATATTTACAAGCGAATGGACAAGCACAGACCCTTTATGCAATACACAAGAAACCTATTCTAGGAAATGTGAGTAGCATTTAAAAACAAAAAGCAATGCATTTTAATCACAATCCAAACAAAGATCCCACTGTACCTCAAGTACATATAGTGTGATCTTTAAAAATGTTCCCAAATAATATTTTGGGGGTAAAAATTGATTCAACTTGCAATGCCACAGTCAGTCTAGTACATCCATCAACCATATTAAACCTTTGAAGCAAAAATAAGGTCTGTTTGATGGTTGATCAATTTGTAAATGTCTGCTAGGAAACGTTTATATGGTGGAGCTCTTAAAAAGAAAATGTGCTCTTGTGTGAAGGATAGAGTTTAAAAGTGACTGAAGGAGAGCAACACATATTAAGTAACAGAGTGCAGACAAACAACAGCAACTCCTCGTGCTGACAGGCAGAAATTAAAGCAGTAGCTAGATTAAGATGTCAGTCACTCTCGGCAAAAACTGCTTTTGAACCCACAGTCACCACATGATCATCACCAACTCCAGGTGTTACATTATCTTTAACTTCAGGTTGCTTACAGACATAATCTTTCCTATCATCCTTAGCTCTTTACATTTTATGAACAAGTTTGTTAGTAAATTGTGAGCACTGTGAAATGTCAACCAGGATTACCCATTATTCAGTTTATCAGTTACTCAAGGCTAGTATTTTCAGGTAGGGCAATAAAATCGATATCTGTATTT